GATCAAATGGTTTAAGGAGACAGACTGTGTTTGCATCTACAAGAATGGATGCTTGATTGAGGGGAGGAGCTACAAAGACAGAGCGAGTCTCGCCCCTCACGTACTGGAAAGAGGAAATGTGTCCTTAAATCTAAGTAACTTCAGTGTCTCAGATGTTGGCGATTACTATTGTCAGGTCATCAGTAGAGACACAACAAAACAGATTACAGTAGGAGGTGAGTATTCTGCAAGTCCATACTACATCAGCCCAACAATCTTTTGTCAGAATACAATAAACTGAAGCCATGTTTTTCACCATAAAGATGGGATGCATTTTAAGCTGTAGTATTTTATAGTTAATGGCACTTGTAGAAGCCAAATGTTTCGTTGTGAAAGCGAAACTACTTTGTTTGGTCTTCCAAAAGAAAACACGACTACAAATAAGTGGTTAAGTTGTATTTACAACACTGTTCCAGAACACTTCAACCCAAATATTCGAGTGTGTGCAGCGCATTTTATGGAGGACTGTTTCCTGGGAGAGTAGCCTATAATGCCGTCTGTGTTTCTATAAAGTGGGGCAATTCCAACTTTGCAAGGACAGCCTAGATTCTGACTCACAGCCTGTAAGTACGTTTTCATATTTAAAGGATTTGCCACTGATGATTCAAACACGAGTTTTGAGCAGTGTAGAGTAGCGCTTGTTGTTTCTCCGATCACAAATGCAGACATGGTTTTATGTTTATGCTGTGTGATACGCAACACAATGCGTAAAAAGACAGTATAAGTCATTATAATCAGTAATTATGTCCCCACTTGATGCAACAAATGCCTAGTTTGTAATGGGTTTTATTGGTTTTGTTTCGTCGCTCCGGCCGGACACGGCATCACAGTATGTTAAGGGGCGTAACATTTCTGTCACACGCTTGAGGTATTCGGCCAATCACAATGCATTGGATAGCTGGCCAATCAGAGCACACCTCGCTTTTCAGACCGATGAGCTTTATAAAAATCGACGCGTTTCAGAAAGGCGGGGCATAGAGGAGCAACAATAATGTACAGTATGTGGAAAATAATGTGTTATTTGAACCTTAAACCGCATAAACACATTACATTACACCAAATACACAAAATAATGTTATTTTTAGCAACATCATATGACCCCTTTAAGTTAATTAGTGTGTTAGGTAGTTATCTAAGAGGATAACTTGGGTATCTAAGAGCACAGATTTTACACAAACCTATTCACGCTTGAAATATCGTCTTCTTAGTGAGGATAAAACCTGAAGTCCAACCTGTGAGCCAGTCACCAACATCTCAAGGCCAATCTATTCAGCTAATGCTGTTTGAGGTAAGAAAGCCTACAGGTTAATTCGTTTAAAATGACCACACTGCACCTTCAAAATTGGATTGACTGAAATTTATTTATGCTGCCTGGTCTAAATATTACCAGATATGTCAGGGATGTCAGGTCATTTACACGGTAAACTTGACACACATAACAAGTATTTAGTGTGTTAAGTAAGACCAAATAAACTTCTTCTGAAAAGTCAGTTTAAAAAAACAGTAGAATGAAAATTTTAATTCATACAGTAGAATGAAATGTATTTAAAGTATTATGTAAAAAAAATAATTTACCATGTTTCAATATCTAGTTTGTATAACTTCAGTCAGACTATTTTCTTCCATTTACAGATAGACAAAATATGGACCGAAGAGGAGACAAACAAAATGGATGAATCTGCTCTAATGTCAGGTGAGTGTAATTAATATGTAATGAAAGGTTAGACCCAAGAAACAGTCTATTCTATCTGATACATGCATATCTGTTATGTATGGCAATAATCATAAAACATTATTATTTCTTTTTTAGAAATGAAAGTGAACAATATGCAGGAGCTTCAACAAATGTTGATCGGGGCTTACAGAAAAGGTTCTCTCAATTGGAGATGAGAGAGACCAGAATGGACTTAGTCAGGGTCTTAAGACTCAACCCTCATGCTCAGTTGTTGGACAGAGACAACCCAAACCCTTTTTAATAGCTACCCAGCATTTAAATGTCAGGTTGATGCTTAATGCCTTTTCTTAATTTCATGAAACTTATTGCAGTCAATATATATATTTTTTTCAGATTTTTTTAACACCAAAATTACATACATTAAATAAGGCATGTCATCATGAAGAAGATAAGTGTAATTACAGTGAATTTACACTGTACTTAATGTATATTTTTAAACTTCCACAAACTAAAAACAGCTTAATAAATGCTCATTTATTTATAAATATTAAATAATGAATCATGCCCTTAAAAAGTTGGATTTTTTTCATTCAACAACTGATTTACATTCTTTCCTGTGTCTTCTTGAATTCTGACTCCCCACAGTCACCAGTGGCGAGGGTTAGGTGTGAGAGTGGACTGTAAGGATAGGGATCAGTCAGACAGCAATGAGAGAAGTAAGAATAGCCCTGACATCTAGGTTCTGTAGAGGCGAGTATCTCTGAGTGTTTATCACAGAAACAGGTAACTGTGATGTACATGCTGTTTCACGTGTTTCAGAGCTATTGTAAGTACTTTCTGCAATCCATATATTAGAAGAAATGTTGAAACTCAAAATGGTCATATTCATCCTAAAATATTTGCCATATTTATTTTCTTGGCCAATAATGTCTTTTTCTTCTTCTACAACAGCTATAACATACACACACACACACACACACACACACACACCTAGGCTATAAACTGATATAAAACGCACAAAGAATTATTTACAGCTACAAGAAATATATATATATTTTAAATAAATTGTGAACTTTTTTGCTTATTTTTTGTGCCTATTTTTTTCTGTATACTTACAGAAAGAAAATAATAGTACTTTTGAAAGAGATTTGTCTTTATATTAAAGAGTTTTCTTTTGGTCTGAAGGTAACAAAAGCCACTGACTTTAGGACAGAGATTGTTAAAAAGGAGAACACTGAGATGATTCAGTACAGAATGAAGGTATACAATATTTACATGCTATACTGTTATCTCCTCTGTTTTGTCTCCACTGGTGACAAAGATAATCTCCCAAATCTGACATTCTGAAGTCCCTCAGCTGTAAGAAATTTTCCTCTTTCCAGATCCTCTGTCAGGATACACTTTACATTATTATTTGAGCTCCTTACATTGCAGCAAGTGGAATCTAGCTATTACTGGATACTCAAAATAAAAATGGTTATTTAATGTGGCTCTGGCAAACAAAAGACGTTTGTAAATTGGTCTCCAAGTACCCTTTTTTTACCCTTGTTTGAGGGAGGTGTTTATTGGAGTATTAATATTGCAGAATGTTGATTTGATGTTCCGTGCTGAAAATCCAATCCAATAGAAGAATTTTGAAATAAAAACTAAGTTCTTCATTAAAGCAGAACTGTGCAACTTTTTCTGTGTTCAAAATTTGCTAAATGTATATAATCAGCAAGTACATCATAAATTAATCTTCCAAACCGCGTTTTTGTCTTATTCCTAATCACTACGGTACACTTATAATAAGTACTTATATTTGGTTTTCTGTGTTCAAAATTTGCAAAATGTATATAATGAGCGAGTACATCATGAATTCATCTTCCAAACCGCGTTTTTGTCTTATTCCGCATCACTACGGTACACTTATAATAAGTACTTATATTTGGACTATTGTAGCCTGGTCGGGTCGTCACCGCTGCGGAGTAACACATACATGCGTGAATCGCCATAGACATAAATTTAGAGAAGTAGCTCCGGTTGGAATGTTCTTCCGCGGGGTGTGTGCAGTTCTGTTTATTAACCGCTAGAGCGCCAAACGTTACATAGTGCTGCTTTAAATGAAGTACTAGATACCACAAAAGACACAACCCAAGTAATAATGAAAATAATACACACCACTGTGGTGAGAACCAGTTTGACCTGTTCATGCAAAGAGCGTATTCATCCAGGTGCCAGCAGCTTAAACACAGCCACCATGTTAAGAATTTACTAATCGGATCAAGAGATGGCTACATACTAGGCTATACCTTACAATGAAGAGAGACACTGATATTCAAAGTGTGTATTTTTATTTTTATTTTTAATTTGTTTGGACAATAGGATTTTGGGAATTCAAAAATGTTTTTTGAATAATTTATAATATATAGAAGGTGAATATAATTTACTTAAGATATGTGATATAGATATGTGAGGAACAGGAAAGGTACAGAAATTCCGATCGTAACCATCCATAAATGAAAGGAACGTGTGTTGGCTTGCATAAGTATTTTCAGTGTAGTTAAGCCGGTGTGTTGTGTGAGACTGAAATCATTCTTCTCTCTCACTGGATGTGTTTTCTTTCCGTTTTAAATAAGCATGGCAGGGAGAAGTGGCAGTAAGTTCTCTTCAAATAATTCTCATCTGCGTCTCACATTGTTTTGTTTAGCTGTTAATCGAAACATAATGTGAACTGTGTGGATTGTGACGGTTTAAAACACTTTATGTTTCATACAAAATACAGCACAGGTGATATTTGAATCTCTCCGTGTCTCTTTTCTCTCACAGATGACTTTCAGCTTGTTATTCCTGAAAGAGGCGAAAGAGTTAAGATTAATTCGGGATCTACTCTCACTGTGTCATGTCACTTGTCTCCTGCACTCAGTGCTGTTGACATGGAGATTACTTGGTTTGGCGAGATGTCTTGTATTTGCGCCTATAAGAACAGAGAGATGACACAGGGTGTTGACTATGAGGGCAGAGCGAGTCTGTTCATTAATGACCTGAAGAAAGGGAATGTGTCCTTAAGAGTGGCAGACTTCAGAGAGTCAGATCTGGGAGTTTACATGTGCCGGGTCACCAGTAGAAATGAAACACAGCAGATAACAGTAAATGTAGCAGAAGAAGGTAAGCAATTCATAACTGCACGCAGGATCAGGAATACTACGTTTATGCAGGAGTTGCAGAATGTGAAGAGAGCAAAAAACAAACAAAAAAACGTGTTAAATTTCCTAATAATCATGAACCTGTTTAAATAAACGTTATTGAGGTAAAAATAATAGAACAGCTAATGTACTACATCCTACTACAGGACCTAGATCTAATGAATGTTCATTGTTGAATTTAAATGAGCTATGTAGGCCTAGTTCATGGCTATTAAATGAGTTATATTTTGTCTATGTATTATACGCCTTGAACTAAACCAGGAAAGAATATTACTATTCATTCCATAGCTGTACAATGCATTTCAATTCTACTTATAAATAAAATAGCGTGTTAATGTCTTCATTAATTCTAAAAGGAGGCTACATGGCTCGATTGCGTCACTATAAGGGGACTGCAGCGCCCCCGCGTGGACACAGCGGTCTAGTGCAGCATCTCACACTCGTAATGGTGGAAAGTGCACTGGATAAAAAATACTTAAATGATCCAATTCAGGAGTTTGAAAATGTGTTTCATGAGGTGATATGTTGCAATATGATTTTAAAATGTGAGAATAAAACTAAGGTATTAAAGCTGCTGGGAGTAGGAGTGTTTTCATGCATCAGTAATAAATAACAAATACAATGCGTCTATGAAGATCTTAATGCTGATAAACTAATTCATCTATATGTAGAAAAATCCTTATAAAGTATCAGGAGTTATAAAACTGCTCTTTAAGGAAATATCTCTCGAACTGATAACTAATGTAATATTGCCGACATTTAAAGTGTTTTGTTTATATTAATATTTTTATTATAGCAAACATTCAAAAGATATCTGCAGCTGATCCTAGATCAGTTACATTCACTCAAAGCTTCTCTTGACTTCCTTTACAGCTAGGTCACCTCTTGTGGTGTCTGTGTATGTGTGTGTAATTGCGAGACAGAATGGAGGATCTGGCAGAGTATCACGGGCGCATCAGCAAGAGGCAAGCAGAAGAGATCCTGACTGAAGCGGGCAGAGATGGCAGCTATCTGATCAGAGACAGCGCGAGCGCAGCGGGATCTTACTGCGTGTGTGTGCTGTGAGTAACATGACTGCATCTGTGCTCTCTGATGTATAGCAAACTGTAACACAGTGCCGTGGTTCTCATCTGGTGGGTTATTGTGACCAAAAATGTGTTACTGTCTGGTCTGATTTTGGTTTTGGGATAGCGGGGAAAAACAATGCTAAATACAAATAATACAATGCAACTGACTCTATAATTGTACATGATTAGACAACATTAAGGGATAAAATGATCTCCGTTTTTTATATCAAAGTTGTGTGTCCGATCAAATTCTAGTGTGCCAACTGCATGGACAGATCGCGTCCATGCTCGGGAAAAAAAATGACTATTTCTGCCATATGGTAAAAAATATCAATACTAGTTTGCAGTTTGTGACAGGGAACACTCAACTCATCTGCAACAAGGATAAACATGGCTCGTGTCATCCAAAATGAGCATTGAAATTCAATTTTAGTACGAAAAATAGTTTTGTCACTGTGTTGGTTTGCCACTTCTGAAAACCACTTGAGAACCACTATAGCCTACCATTTGGTAGGTACATATGCAAGTAACTTTAACTGAATGAATGAGTAAATTGCATTTTTTTTTAAATGTAGTTCACATGCTGTGATTACCATTACTGATAATGTTATATGTGATGTAATTGATAATGCGTTCATTATTGCAAAAATGTAGGCTACCCCTTCAGGGTGAAGACGGTTTGAGATATATGAGCCTATATTCCCTCGATTACACAGCTACTCATCAAATCAATACATATGGACATAAAATATTGACTTGAGTTTAAATAATTCTATAATCTTACATGTATATTACCTAAAGCTTCCACTAAGACAAAATAAAACAATCGACCTAACAACAAGAGGAACTCTACTACAAAAACACAGTAAAATTGATACTCGGGCACTGTGAGGTTACTTTTTCTCAAGTTGGAGTAATTTGCATTTGTATGAAACAAGAGAGTAGTTGAGTAGATTTGTGTTGTTGTGATAGTAGAGACATATGAAAGTAGTGCCGTGATATACATTGTTGTCGTGGTCAACTGAGATCAGCGAGACCAACTGAGACCAATCAGAATTATGCATATTGAATTAAAGATAATCAGTTGTTCTGCAGTGTTTTTAAAATCAAATGTAAAACTTTTTAAAGCCTGTTTCACGATCTGCACATATAAAATTAATACCAGATGCCGTCACAGAACAAACCCCTAAAATCTCAAAATAAAGCAGGTATCTCAAATAGTTTTACTTTAGTCAGGGGTGTCCAAACTCGGTCCTGGAGGGCCACTGTCCAGCAGAGTTTAGCTCCAACTCTAATTAAACACACCTGAATCAGCTAATCAAGGTCTACTTGAAACTTCCTGGCAGGTGTGTTGAAGCAAGTTGGAGCTAAAACCTGCAGGACACTGAGTTTGGAGACCCCAGGCTGGGACACACATTCAGCTGCAAAACGGGGTGACTCCAAGTTTAAATATTGTGCTGCGAATAACATTATGACTGTGTGTAAATCTTCAGGTGTGATGGATGGGTTTACACCTACAGAGTTTTCAAACAAAAGGATGGCCTCTGGACAATAGAGGTACGAATAGATTTTTGGACCTTTGTACTTGAAACCTGAATATACATGTCTTAATATAAAAGCATACTTCTGTCTTAGCATATGTTTTGTGTGTTGATATTTGGAATACAGTACAATATGTTTCCTGTGACTACTTCTGGTAGTACATTAATGACACTGATACTTTTAAAACAAGAAGAGCAGCACTAGACTATATAGCAGTGCACAGCATTTTTTTTCTCTTTGTGGTCAGTGTGTTGCATGTATTTGTAGCCTCACACCCCACAAATTAACAGCCAGAAAATCGCCATGTACATCTGTTATGTTTCAGCATCACCCACATCTCGTTTCATATGCACCAAGAAAATTGCAAAATGTGAAACTTGTAAACACCCCCCCCC